GGAGCTTCGAAAGCTTGCAACAAGGATATTGTGCATTTGGGTTGGCCATTAAAGGTATCTCTGATGGGTTTTTGTTTGAGTCCTCATAGCTGTTAGAGCAAGAAGAAGGTCATGCCTGCTCAGCTTAGCTACATTTATTTGGTTCTGCCCTATTTAACCCCAGGAATCCATCTTCTAGTTGCCTCTCCTGGGTGCATCTCTTACCAGGTGATCGATTATCTAAATATGTTGGCCCATGGATAGTCAGAATCTACCACTTGCTAAGAGGAGATGCTGGAACCTATCTGCTTTTGTCTGTTTTAAACCCCCTGTTGCATGCATTTACATTATTATTATTATTATTATTATTATTACCATCATCATCATCCCACCCCTCTGCATATGCAAGCTTATCATTTGTTGCTGTTGTTTCCTTGGCACGATTTGGTTCAGAGGAGGTTCGCCATGACCTTTCCCTGAGGCTGAGAGCCTGTGACTTGCCCAAGATCACCCAGTAGGTTTCATGGCCAAGCTGGGAATCAAATCCTAGTCTCCAGAGTCGTAGTCCAACACTCAAACTACCATGTGCCACGCTGGCTCCGTCCCTGCCATTATACAATTTTTTAAAAATAATGTTGTGCATGAAACAAAGGTTGTGCACACTGAACCATCAGAAAGCAAAGCTGTCACTAACTCAGCCCTCCCATGAAAAAGGTTTTGGTTTTTGGAGTATTTCAGATTTCGGGATTCTGGATAAAGGAGGCTCAACCTGTACTAGGTTAGTTGGACGAATAGTCTGATCCATACAAAAAAAGCAGCATCCTGCGTTCATATGCAGAAGGTCCCAGGTTCAAATTGCAGCATTTCCAGGTAGGGCTAGGAAAGAATCCTTCCTGAAACTGTGCAGAGCCATGGCTGGCTATCAGAGCTGACAGTCGTGGGGTAGATGAACCAAGCATTTAGCTCACTAAAAGAACTGTTTCTTCTAACTCCGATATCTCATGAATTTGGTACCAAGTAAGCATGAAACAACAAAATGAAATAGTTTTCCATCGCTCTTGCAAGATTGTTTTAGAATGTGCATGTCTTATTTGTCCTTTGCAAGTTTTAATTAATGTGTTTTCATTTATGTTTTGTGTTATTTGTTGTTGTTCCCCACCTCAATCCATGAGGACGGTTGGGTAAGAAATTATTATTATTATTATTATTATTATTATTATTATT